TGCCCTTCCAGCAGGATTGTAAGCCATTAACAACTACTCTTTGAGAACAGTTATCCAGCCAGTTATGCACCCACCTTATAATAGCCTCATCTAAGCCGCATGTATTTGCCTAGTTTATTGATAAGATCATGTGAGACCATATCAACTGCTTTACTAAAGTCAAGGTCCCTTTTCTCCCTTATCCACCAGACTCATTATCAAAGAAAGCTATCAGAATGGTTTGACATGATTTGTTCTTTACAAATCCATGCTAGCTGTTACCTATCACCTTTTCTTCTTCCAGGAGTTTGCAGATGAATTCCTTAATTACCTGCTCCATTATTTTTCCTGGCACAGAAGTTAAACTGGATGGTCTGTAGTTTCCTGGATTGTTCTTATTTCTCTTTTTATAGATGGGCACTATATTTGCCCCTTTCCAGTCTTTTGGAATCTCTCCTGTCTTCCATGATTTTTCAAAGATGATAGCTAAAGGCTCAGATACCTCTGTCAACTCCTTGAGTATTCTAGGATGCATTTCATTAGGCCCTGGTGACTTGCTGACATCTAACATTTCTAAGTGGTTTTTAAACTTGATCTTTTCTTGAAATGTGGTGCCCAGAACTGGACTATTTTATCTTCTAAAACTACCCCATTCCCACTAGTATTCACTATGTTAGGTATTCCTACATCATCAGACTTCTTGGTGAAGACCAAAACAAAGAAGTCATTAAGCATCTCTAATGATTAATGCAGCTGCTAGAGTGGAAATTGAGCAAGGCACTGAACATACAGTAGAACCTCAGAGTTACAAACTGACCAGTCTACCAAACACCATATTTGCAACCAGAAGTATGCAATCAGGCAGCAGAGGAGGGGGAAAAAAAGCAAACAGTACTGTGTTAAAATTTAAAAGAGGAAAAGTGGCATTTTTCTTCTATATAGTAAAGTTTCAGAGTTGTAGTAAGTCAAAGTTCAGCTGTAAACTTTTTGGAAGAGCAACTGTATTTTTATTCAGAATTAAGAACCTTCAGTCCTGAGGTGTTTGTAGCTCTGAGGTTCAACTGCATTTCTGACCCGACCTCTTGAATGAGTGAATGAAGTGTGCACTCATCAGCTATTCAGCTTTTCATGGAATAAGGACTTCTGATACTCCTTTGACATTTTGTTCCAGATAAAGCTTTTTTTTGAAGTAGAAAATTCCACCCAAAGAGCCAAATTCAAGTTTCAAGATTAAGCATTAAGTTATAGTCATCTTTTTGTGTACGTGCAGTAAGAATAATCTCCTCAAATACCAAAGTTCTCTCAACTTTAGATGCAGGAGCAGAATGTTATAATACTCTGGATCAAAGTGTATGAAGATTTCTTATACAACGAAAAAAACATTTTTATAACATAGCCCAAATGAACAGCCTAGGTTCACAGATAACTACTATATTCAACTGTTTCATTCCCAAAATTTCACCTAAAATATGCTGCAAATGTAAGTCATGTTATAGCTCAGCTTCTGAACCTCCAGTTACATCAAAGGATAACTTAATGTCAACTGAAGAGAAAGGCTGGTACTAAAAGTTATTGAATACCCAAGAGAATTTATATGAAGTCAGAAATTACAGAATATTTTAAACAGGTTGGCGTGAATTGTGACAAGAGGCTATACATATCCAAGGTTGTAGAAAACTAAATTGTGTTAGAGAAATACTCTGATGTATCTGGAATACTGAAATGGGCAAAAGAGGCAGAGTTCAAATTGCATTTGGAACCTTGTTATTTCTCCACTTACAATGCTTAACCTCACCACCTTACAATTCTCTTCACTTCATGTAGTTAAGTGAAATCTGGATTATTTCTACTTAACCCATATACATCCTGTGCCTTTCCCTCATTTTTGACTGCCAAGTGTCACCATAACTAGAAAGAACAAAGTAGTAGCATGCAGAAAGCAAATATGTATTTTCAGAAATGCTGAATACTCACGCTTCTAGTCAATGGAGCTGAATATGAACAGAATTTATGAGAGTCCTAAACCCATATAACAATTCAGCTACCTAATGTAGGCCCTTCCTAAACTAGTAAACTCCGTATTTCTTTGATGTCTACAGGTAGGAGGCTTTGATGGCGCCAACCGTCTTCGGAGTGCAGAAGCCTACAATCCAGTTGCGAACACCTGGCGGACGATCCCCACCATGTTTAATCCCCGTAGTAATTTTGGCATTGAAGTGGTGGATGACCTTCTGTTTGTGGTGGGTGGCTTTAATGGTTTCACTACCACATTCAATGTTGAATGCTATGATGAAAAGACTGATGAATGGTATGATGCTCATGACATGAGCATATACCGTAGTGCTTTGAGCTGCTGTGTGGTGCCAGGACTAGCCAATGTTGGAGAGTATGCTGCCAGACGAGACAACTTTATAGGATTATCACAGCGAGATGAAGTCAAATACTCCTCTTCGACAAGTACCCTACCTGTATGAATAGCTCCACTTAGCTAATAAAGTCTTCTAAGCAAGAACTGTATGTATTCACTTTTTAAAATAAAAGCAATTGGATACAAACTCACAGGAATAGTCAGTATTGGAAATTGTTTCATTCAATGGAGCCAGACATCTATCATTTACAAACGTGTTATACAGGGCATCCCCGCTATAAGTTGCCCCGGTATACATCCATTCCACACGAAAGTGGTTGACGTTTGTAGGAACTGATGCATTATAAGGCCTCTCATTCCCCACTCCTAAGTCGGGTAAAAAAAAAAAAAAAAAAAAAAAATTTGCAAAAATGGAAGTCAGCTGCGGGAAAAAAAGTTTTTTGGAACATATCTTGGACTTATAGCGAGGATGGCCTGTAGTGCTAAATACCATAACGTAGCAAAAAAACATATGGAACACTAGAATAGAGAAATAAAAAGTTTATTTAATTCAATTTCATTACAACAAAGCAGTGTAATGTCAAGAACTTAAATATTACAATATTATTAGTTTCAAACAGCCTTGAACAAACTCTACTTTACCGTACAGAAAGAAATGCAATTCTTCCAGGTATAGAGGGTACTGCTTCTCCAACCACCTGCAGAAGCCTGCACTAAAACTGACAGAAAAGAACAGCTGCCTCATAGGTCATGGGATCTAGAATGATGTGGATCCATGAGGAAAATCTACGATTATAATGGTCTTCAAACACCTAGTTACGTCTTTATTTAACATGTGTTATTTATTGGACTATAGTCTCAAGAGCGCTTGTATTAGGAGGCTTCCACTTATATTGGTTATATTAAAAACAATTATAGTCTAGTATAATTTGAGAAGTGGTTGAAGATAAAGCTAAGTCTTACAAATACATTTCTACTTACTGGGTCCTTTATAAACAAGTCAAATACTACAGTATACTATTTTAACTTAGGGTTAAAGGCTCTTAAACTTTGTTAATCTGCACAAAGCAGTCTGTCTCTAGAAAACAATACAGTCTCTTTAATATACACTGACACAATAGTCCTGTTATTTTACTGTTTACTGTAATGCAAAAATAATTTGGGGCTAACATCAATAAGCTGAGGCAGAGAAGTTTGTTTCAGAATCCTTAGTGCATTTAAAAAGATGGCATATATTCTATTCGCTTGGAGTGGTGTCTTTCTAACCTTGTGCAAGAGAAGCATTAAAAATACATACAAAACAGTTACTTACCAACAGACCGCTCAGGCTTTATAAAATACTATGTACACATATGGCACCTGGAAATTATTACAGTGCCAGCAGCCTAGCTGGTGGCATCCTTAACTTATTTCACTAACCTTTTGAACAGAAAGATAGGACATAGGACATGCATTTAATGGGATGTGTTTAGAATAGCCAAAAAGGTATGATTGTCTTTCAGAGGGCAGAATAGTTGGAATATTAAGACAAAGATAGGAGTCTGTTTAGTTATACTTACTTCTTATGGGAGTAAGATTCTTGTTAGTTTATCTATCCTGCTATAACTACAGCTAAGAGCGCTCAGAGTTTTGCAAAGGAGTGTTTTACATGTACCACCACGCTATGCTAATCAAGGGCCACAAGAAACTTGTTAAATGGCGGATAGATTAATGGACCGAGGTAGATCCACAGTCACCACACATTTAAGTTTTCTACAACTTATAACAACTACTTAGTGTACAGTGGGCAATCAGACTTTGTTTAAAAACAACAGTGTGTGCAGATGCCATTGATCCACAAACATTCAAGGTAAAAAAGGCTATTTAAAAATGAAGAGTTCCCTTGGAATGGCCATAAAACTGAAACTGACTATGCTGCATGGTACCCATCACTCATCATGCAATTGAACACACCAACAGTGAGATAAAGTGCACCACACAGTAAACCGTGGCTGGCATTCACAAGTTAGATCACTCTGGCATGACATTATTTTTACATCTTTAAGAATATTAAGACCTGGTAAGATGAACAAAAGCTAAAAGTTATTTTCTGAGTAGTTATATTTTGTTATAACCAAACAAGATCATGAGAGGTTTGCTTGGGAACCCACTAGTCTAGGTTGATCGTCAGTGATATTTTGCTTAGATTGCAATTGAAATATATACTAATGATACATTACAACCAAATGCTCTATCAGTGTGGTTGATAAATTATATTCATCTGCACTTTGCCAAATGAGTTAATTAAGTCTTTCAGGGCCAGCAACTTCTGGATGTCAGCCTTGAACTTGAATAATTTAACTGATTTCTCCTTTTAAACAGGTTAGGCCCACCTCTCAAATTTTAACTTGCACACTGGTTCTTGCAGTGTAATTCGATAGCCAAGTAAAATCCAACATCATGGTAATAGCAGGTGATTAGCTTGTATCTGAGTTGTTACTTTGTCATGGTAATTTTTACAAGGCTGGATTAGTCTGAATACTATAGCAAGGCAAGTTAATGATACAGATAATATCAAGTGAATTTCAAGAGGAAATGCAAGTCAGAAAAACCTGTACATATCATGCAGTTGAAAGACTTACCTAC